CTCGTTATTTATCTCAGGATCTGCCACAAACAGATAAGGAATTTTCGTTTAAAAGAAAAATGAGGTAGGGAGTGAGGAGAGATGTCTCGTTAGCTAAATGGGATTGGGGGCAAATATTAAATTTTCTGTTCCTACTAGGGTCGGGGCAAAATATTATATTCTCTGTTTCTAAGAGAGTCGGGTTAGAGATTATATTCTATGTTTCTACTAGGGTCGAGGACAAATATTATATTCTCTGTTCCTACCAGGGTCGGGGTAGAGATTATATTCTCTGTTCCTTCTAAGGTCGGGGCAAACATTATATTCTCCATCCCTACCAGATCTCTATTTCCCGTCCTAAATAGAGTTGAGAAATCTTTGTTTAAACTAGGAACGAGGGAGTAAGTGAAGATAATTTTTTTTTTCGTTAGTTAAACGGAGTTGAGACAGAGATTATATTTTTTTGTCTCCTAAATCTCTATCTCACCTTACTCACTTTATATAATATATGTCACCGTACAACTAAGGTTCAAAACTAACCTATTATACGAGAATGTTTGCTTAATCCAATGGTGTGAAAGTTATCTTATTTATAATCTAATAAAATACAAGGATATGAAAAGAGTAATAAACGAAAAATAACCATAAATGGAAAGATACCTCTGGTAACAAATAAAATATCAAATATGATATATGTGGTAAACTATAATTTATTACTAAATATCCTTAACATTATATATTTATATTAATAATGAAATTTAAGTTTTTAGAAATTATATTCCGTGTTATATTATATTTTTGTTTATCAAATATTATTGAATTTGTTAGTTACATTCCTCTATAATACATTTTTGGTATTTTAGCCGTGACGAGTGTAGACATGATTTTGGTGATCAGTCATATACCTCATATTGACACAACAAGAATAACAAAGGCCTATCTAGCATAAGAGGTTTGGAGCGAGTATGTGGTCATGGACAACACATCCTAGACAAACATAACCGAGACATCCGACATGGGCTCATAGGCACCACGCTTTGGATAAGTATGACTGTGACACTTGTCACACATGCTTTGTTATTTGAGTCATAGACGGAGAAGGAAGAGTAGAAATTTTACGTTCCCGTGAATTAGGGTCAGGAACGAGGCAATGTAGAGATCAATGATTAAAAAAAAAAAAAATTAAATGACTCGATTTTGTAATTTAAAAATAAATAAAAGAATGTTAATTTAGCCCAAAATTATATTTAATCGAAATTATATTTTTCAAGGAGCAAAACATTTAAACCTATTTTTCAAAATTAAAAAAATAAAATAAACGCTTAAATTTTTTTTATTTTTTATTTAAAAAAAAAAAAAAAAACCCTAATAAGACCCTATAAATAAGACGGAACCAAAACCCTAGGGTTCAGTAACTACTTGATCTTATCAGAGCTGGGACTGAGAAATTGTGAATGGCGGTTCCATGGCTAATGCCTCGATTCCCTTTCTCTTCCTCTCGATCATGGCGGAGCCACCCTCCCTTCTTGCGAGGGCTGCTTTGGAGGCTTTACTATGGCTGAAGAGGAGAGATCCATGGTGAGTTCTTGGTATTTAGTCGGCCTGATTTCACTCTCTCTTTTGTTCCAGCAATGACGACTGCCTGCTGTCGGAGCCTCCGTTCTATTTGACTTGGCGATGATGGCTTCGCAGGCTTGTACCATAAACAACACCGCCTTTGGTTTTTGCGCTTTTCTTTTTTCTTTTTTCTTTCGTTCTTTCTCTGTTTATGTGTGTTTTAGTGCTGATTCCAAGGCTTAGCTTCCGTTCTTTGTTTGCAATGCTCATAAGCTTCCATTCTTCATTCGTTTATGAACTGATTTGGTGTTCCTTTCCTTTCTATTTCCGTCTTCGATTACAGCAGTCTAGAGATTATCACTTCTTTATACTTTAGGTTTATGATCTGCGTTGAGATTTTGAAGAAAATTTTATGTTGTTTACATTACATTTCGAGGTTCAATTAATCTAATTTGGAGGTTTCTATTTTTCTTTGTAAGTTACAATGAAATGTCCTGAACTTTATTATTCGTTGCAATTTTACCTGAAATAATTCGGTAGTAACTGCTTCCAAACACTGTCACATTGTGAGTAAAATCCGATCTACGTCCCGAATTCTCATTCTCCATCTGAACAGATTTTTCTAGTTTTGAAAATTTTATGTAAGCTGAAAGTAATACCGTTTTTGAATTGGAGTAATTTGAAAGTTTCGCTTTATTTTATTTCCTAATTGTTTTTTTTAATGAAGTCTTTGTCTTACTTTTGGTCTTTCTTCTGCTATTACCAGATGTGGAACACAATTTTTGAAACATGATTTTTGTTTCGTATTGAAAACTGATTGATGCGGTCATTGCCAGTCTTTTCAGAGTCATTTGGAATGGTTTTCTTATGAATATTCATTAGCATCATGAAGATTCACCCCATTTCAGGTGCATGTAAAACCACTTTTAATAGTCATCGTAAAAGCCTTTACCAAGTTTTTGATTTATGACTGGTTGGAGAAGATAGTGGCTTGTTGTTGGAAAAATTTCTCAGGGCCAACTATTTGCTTAGGAGGACGCCTAGCCGGATCACTTCAAACTCTGAATATTGGGGAGCTGATTAGACTCGAGGAACTTTCTCATACAGAAATCCAGTTTCAATCTCTCTTGAAACCGTAGTTGAAGAAGATGACTTATAATATGTATGTCTAACTTAGGTATTTGAGGGATCTTTACGTCAAAACTGGCTGGTTTTGGATTGGGCTTAGAGTGGTGATCTGATTATACTGGAATGTGTTGGCCATTGGGTCATGGATTTATAGTGGCTTTCGTTTCTCTTGTTAGGTGAAGATGGTGTATATGTATTATGATGCAAAGATTGAATAAAGTTGATACATTTGCATATTTTATGAACAGTTCCAGCAGAATTTAAGCGTTAAGAATAGCCCATCTTCGGGGGTTAACTTCATTCCCTGTTTGTTTAGCCTCTAAAATATGTGGTTCGGTTCTAACCCTTTTGTGGACTGTAATTTTCAACCACCAAAAAGTTTGGCAAGCATTAAGCTGTTGCTTAATTCTTTTCTTGCACAAACTTTTTCTTGTCTCTACTCTTCTCTCGTTCATGGTTGTTCGTGGAGTGGGACGCTGTTGTTTGATATGGGATGAGGCAGCTCGAGTGGCTTCCCAACTAAAAATTGAGATCATTGTTAGTAATTTGTTAGCATATAGAGAACTTCTTGAGTTTCTCTCTTAGTATATATTATCATCTTTGGGCTTTCATTTTCGGGCATTTCTTCAAAGCTTTTTAGTTCCGATCAACTTCCCCTAAAGATTTTGTTTTTAAAACGGGTGAGTTAGATTCTCTTCATGATTTTTATATTTTAAAATGTTTATATTTTAAAATGTATATGCTAGAGTAATTAGTTAACTGAACAAAATTGATAGTATTGTCGGTGCTAGATGAACATAATAATGTTGGTATGGATATGGCAGATGGATGTTGTTAACATCAAAGACACCCAAGCTTATATGACACATCAACGACACCCAAGCTTATATGACACATCAATGAGGATATTTATACTTTGGAGTTACCCAACGATAAAGGTGTGCCTAAGATCATTTCATTATAAAATTATATTAAACATATGGTTCTATGGTGTAGTGGTTAGCACTTTGGACTTTGAATTTAGTGACTTGGATTCAACTTTTGATAGGACTTTTCATCTTTTTATTTTTGGACCTGAAATCATCTCAAGGACATACCTTTATAATTAACCCCCCTAAAAAGTGAAAGGTCCTATCGAGAGTTAAACTTTGGATTCAAAGTCCAAGAGTGTTAACTACTACACCATAGAACCAAATGTTAACTCTTGGTCGGACTTTCACCACTACACCATAGAACCAAATGTTTAACTCTTGGTCGGACTTTCACCTTTTAGACCTAAAATCATCCTAGGGCAACCTTTATCACTTTAGACCTGATGAAATTATCTTAAGGCACACCTTTATCATTGAGTAACCTCCTAAAGGTGAAAGGTCCTACTCACTTTTGATTGAGTAACCCCCTAAAAAGTGAAAGGTCCTACCGAGAGTCAAGCCCAACACCATAGAACCAAATGTTTAATATCAATCTTATAATGAAATCGTCTTAAGGGCACACCTTTGTCATTAAGTAACTCTTAAAAAGTGAAAAAACTCAAGCTAGGAAGGTCCTATCGAGAGTCGAACCCAGGTCACTGAATTCAAAGTCCAAAAGTGCTAACCACTACACAATAATATCAATCTTATAATAAAATCAACTTAAGGACACACTTTTATCAACTTAAGGACACACTTTTATCATTGAGTAACTCCAAAGGGAGTGTTATAAAACCAAAAATTAGATTTCAAAGTGAAAGGTCCTACAGGAGTTGAACCTAGGTCTCCTTTGTCATTGAGTAACTCTTAGAAGGTGAAAAAACTCAAGCTAGGAAGGTCCTATCGAGAGTCCAGGTCACTGAATTCAAAGTCCAAAAGTGCTAACCACTACACAATAATATCAATCTTATAATGAAATCAGCTTAAGGACACACTTTTATCATTGAGTAACTTCGAAGGGAGTGTTATAAAACCAAAAATTAGATTTCAAAGTGAAAGGTCCTACAGGAGTTGAACCTAGGTCACTGGATTCAAAGTCCAAAGTACTAACCATTACACCATAGAACCAAAGGTTTAATATTAATTTATAATGAAATCACTTAAGGGCCGTAACTCTAAAAGGTAATCAGGCTAGATTTAAAGTGACTTTTGATTGAGTAATACTAAAAGGTGAAGGTCTTACTGAGAGTTAAATCCAAGCAGTTGGATTCAAAGTCTAAAGTGCTAACTATTGCATGATAGAACCATATGCTCAATATCAATCTTTTAATGAACACACCAAATTGAACTAGAATTTTGATTGAGTAACTCTAAAAGGTGAAAGTCCTACCGAGAGTTAAACCCAGATCATTGGATTTAAAGTCCAAAGTGCTACCCGCTACGGTCTTTAATCTTATGATGTAATCATCATAATGGTTTTTTAAAATCCAAAAATAAATTTATCAAAGATTGAACACAACTTAACTCAGTTGCCTCATTTGCAGCTTCATCGCCGACCCCTATGGACATGAGTTGTGCTCAATGTGGCACTTGGCCGGCATATGTCTCAACTGACTCCCAATTTCTTTGCTTGCCACAATTGACATTAGTCCTCTCGTGTGAAGGGCTCTTTAGATGGTACCAACCTGGTACACCTTCTGTTCATCTGAGCCTACAGCCACCTCAAGTCCTTGACAAATGAGATTTGTCTTGCTTCTTGATATGTATAAATCTCCTCATTGATGTGTCACACACAACACTCCTGAGCTCGGGCATTCTTTAGGGTTCCTTCTCCAACAAATGTGAGATCTATAAGCAATAATTAGTTATACTATAAATATAAGAGGTGGGATCTATAGACAATAATTAGTTATACTATAAATATAAATTTAATCCGTGAAGTTAACGTCTATTTGGTCTCTAATTTTCTAAGACATATTAGATACGATATCCCGTTTAGACACCTATGAGATACTTTTAGAAGCTTAGAGATCAAATAGACACAAACCTCAAGACTAAACTTGTAATTTAACCCCATAATTTCTCGAGTCCAAGAAGTCCGTTCCATCGTTGTAGCAGATCCATAAAAATTCACAGTTCCCAGGATGCATTCCTATATTTTACAGCCTCATTCATATAAGAATTCCTTGTCAAAGCTAGCTTTAGAGAAGGCTCTGTCCTGGAATTTTAGAGGATTTGCTAGAATCCATCAATCTTCTCCATTTCTCAGCATCACCATATTTCCCAGCTGCAGCAAAAATGTTAGACATGAGCACATAATCACCTCCATACGCGCCCTCCATGTCTAATATCCTCCGTGTTACCCGCTCCGCAATCGACACGTTACTGTGAAAACTACAGGCACCCAAAAGTGTCCTCCAAATAACAACATTGGCTATCTCCATAGGTATCTCCAAAGCTATTCTTTCAGCTTCTTCTACCCTCCCTGCCCTTCCCAACATGTCTATTAAACTCCCATAGTGCATTATATCCGGCTTTATCTGATACTCCTCAACCATCTTCTTGAAAAACTCTAGACCTTCCTCAACTAGCCCTCCATGGCTGCAAGCACTTAGAATGCTCAAGAACGTGACCCGGTTCGGCTCGTGGCCTTCGTTCTTCATCCTTTCGAAGCTCTCCACAGCTTCTTTTCCCATTCCATGCATGGTGAATCCGGTGATTATCGACGTCCATGTCACCAGATTCTTCCTTTCAGCTGACATTTCTTCAAACACCATTGATGCACTATTAATACAACCACATTTTGAATAACAATCAATCAATGAATTAGCAATGCGTACATCAGACACCTTAAACCCTTTCTTCTCTGCATAAGCATGGACTGAGTGACAAATCTTAAGAGCCCCAAGATTCGAAATGGAAGGGAAAATCGTTAGAAGTGTTATTTCAGTAGGCTCCATACCATAATGAGCCACCATTTTCCAGAACAAATCCGCAGCTTCCTCATGCCTGTTTAGACGAGTATAGCCATCGATTATGGCAGTCCAAGACACAACATTACGCATAGGCATTTGATCAAACACCGCACGAGCCCGTCCAAGCTCACCCAACTTAACCAAACCAGTAATCAAGACATTCCAAGTGACAGAGTTTCGGTCAGGCATTTCATCGAACACCTTGAGAGCATCAAGCAAAAACCCACAAGCGGCATACATACGTACAATTGCAGTTTGAACATAAACATGGGAAGGAAAGCCAACCTTGAGAGTGAGAGCGTGGAGTTGAAGACCAGGTCCAGTGAGCTCCAAATCGGCGCAAGAATGGAGGAGGAAGGAATAGGCAAAAGTATCGTAGGAGGGGGGAGTGTGAGGAATGCGGCGAAGGGGCTGGTAGAGAGGGTAGCAATGGAGCAATGTGTTGCAGAGAAGGATGAAATTGGCGGTGGCGTTGAAAAGTAAGCCGGAGGTGATGATGAAAGAGCGAATTTGTTGGGTTGCTTTGTGGGATGTGGCGTATTTGATGAGCTGAGAGATTAAGAGCGGCGGCGGAGAGTGGCGGAGAGATTTGTATGCGGCGGAGGGAGAGATTGAAAAGAATTGAAGATTTTGAAAAGGAGAGAAAGTTTGGGAGGAGAGGAACTTACCTCGCTTCCATAAGCTCTGCATACTTGGGAAATTGAAGGCAATGATCAGTCCCATGCGCCCATGATTCTCAAGCTTAGCAGCTACCACTATATTCTTTTCACCGACCGTTAGGGAGAGGATTCCACACCCTCTTTGAGGAGTGCTTCATCCCCCTCTGAAGGGTGGACCAACATGTTCGCACTCATTCTTTTCTCTAATCGATTTTATAAATTGTTACAATCCAAGTCCACGTTACGTATAAGGAGTGTTTCGTTCCCCTCTCTATCTGTAATGGGATCTCACAATCTACCCTCTTTGGGCACCAACGTTTTCGCTGATACTCGTTTCTTTCTCCAATTGATGTTGTATAAGGAGTGTTTTGTTCCCCTCTCTATCTGTAATGGGATCTCACAATCTACCCTCCTTGGGCACCAACGTTTTCGCTGACACTCGTTTCTTTCTCCAATTGATGTTGTTAGACGAACAAGACTCTCCACAATTGTATGATATTGTCCACTTTGAGCATAAGCTCTCATGGCTTTGTTTTGGGCTTACCCAAAAGGCCTCATACTAATGGAGAGTATATTCTTAGATTATAAACTCATGACCATTCCCTAAATTAACTAATGTCGGACACTTTCATCTAACAACAGATGTGAGACCCCTACCAAATCTACCCATTTCGGGGCCAGTATCCTTACTGGCACACCGTCTCGTATCTGTCTCTAATATCATTGGTAATGACCCAAGTTCACAACTAACAAATATTGTCTTTTTTGGCCTTTCCCTTTCAGACTTCTCTTCAACGTTTTTAAAACAAGTGTGTTAGGAAAAGATTTCCACACCCTTATAGAGTGTTTCGTTCTCCTCTCCTCCGCAACCCATGTGAGATCTCACATCCACTTTATCTGCCGAGCCGTCCCAAATGAAGAGGATTCCCCTTTTTTTAATATAATTTTAAATTTTTAAAAAATGTAATTTTTTTAATATAATTTTTAAATTTTAATATACCATTTTGAAATAAACGGTAGAAAATTAATAATAAAAATATTTTTTAATTTTTTTTTCCGAAAGTTTAAAGGTATAATTGAAAATTTTAAAAATTATTTTCGAGTATTTTTATTAATTAAGCCTAAAAATGAATTTCATGTCTACCAAATACTCCAAGACTTAAAAGTCAAACCTAAACCATAAGTTAGGCAAACTACTTTAATAAAATAAATATAATAATTTTCTATTTATAAAATAATATTTTTAATTTTATTTATTTTTTGATAGGTAACATGTCAGCTATGCAATATTATGTCACTTAGTTGCATTTTCTTGCTTGCTTCACCATGACCTAATGCCCAATTTTAATATTGCCTATGGTGGTTGGGAATTGAGCTAACGTGATTAAAAAACCCGGTACGAAATGTTCGAGACAATCTTAAAGGAGAAATATTCAAGTCGGGTTAGAAACTACCGACGTGGACATAGCTTAATGGGTTAAGATTTATATCATCGATCGAGGTTCTGATCCTCACTTCTGAATATTGTTGAACAAAAGAAGAAGGTCGGAGGGTAGGAACTCGATAAATGAAACAGTAGTGGACAAATATCGATTTAGATCGACAATTTGAATTAAATTACAAAATTTAACTCCCGAGCTTTCAGGGTAGTGTTTGATAGGGATTCTTAAGCTTTCGACTTCGTATCTGGTACGATAAGATTTAAAAATAAAAAAATATATATATAATAATAATAATAAAAACATGTGGTATTTTGGTTGGTGGGGTTGGAATTATGGTGCAATATAAATATGGGGGTGTTTGGGAATGGAGATTGCTTAAGATGGAATGGGAGTAGCACAGCCATTAACTCGAATTTCTTAAGCTTCAAATTACAAAATTGAAGAAAAACCGGCCAGGATTGCGCAGAGGACGGTTTATTTGACCTAAAAGTAAGAATTTCAGCCCCAAAAAAACCGGTGCTTTGCTTTTAATGGAAACTTCCAAATTCTTCTATATTCCTCTTTCTTCTCTATCTCTCTCTTCCTTATTTTCAACTCTTACATTGGTTCGGTTCGATTTGGTTCGGTTCGGTTTTTTTTGAACGAGCATTGACATAGGTTACCCGTCTCGATACTTATATAAAAGAAAAAAAAAAAATGAAATTACGAAAGCACTGTTCTTGTGTTTGAATTGAACTAACTGGTAGATACAATGAAGAACGAGAATGGGAAGATTTAAACTCTTAGTAACGCTCTTGTTTCACAGTTTAGCTTGTATTTATTGTACTTCTGTTCCGTTACGTTAGGCCTCCCAAAAGTTAACAGAGGGCGTGGAAAAGTAAAAGCTACATGTCTAATTTTCTGTTCTTTCGATTATGGCTTTTAAATTTACTTCCCGTCTAGAATTGTATGTGTAACAGATGTCCATGAATTTAACGATAAAAGCTTTCAAAAGTTGTTTTAAAAGATAAAAAAAACAAACTTTAGGGCTATAATAAAAATTGTAAAAGTTCGAGGGTATAATTGAAATAACCCAAAATATGTGAATTTATAAGGTTTTTTTTTTTTTTTTAACGACTCATGCCCAGAATTTAGATCAGGATTTAGTAACTAATGGTCCCGACATTCTTCTGTATCCCCTGCGAGATGGTCACGTTACCTACTATTTGCTTCTGCAGTATTGGTTCATTAATGTACCTCTCTTTTACTCGGGTGATACAGTTTTGACTACAAATAAGATAGAAGATTCACTTATCTGATTTTGTATCTAATAGATTTTTGATATATTTAACCACTTTACTGTCCGGAGTACTCATTTATTTGGAGTAAAAAATTCAAATCTTCATATCTCAATACTCATAATAATAATAATAAATTGTCGGAGTGAGTTATTTGATTGCATAGCTCAGACATATAACCAATTGACACATTTTTTTTTCGTTTTTGTTTGTTAGTTGGAGTTCGACTCCACGCTATCATGAACTTGGTTCAACTAAAGATGTTCATTTAACCTATGCACTTGAGATCTACTCTGAATGAATAAGGGACCCGCCCTACGAGTTATATATATATATATATATTAAAATTAATATACAAAACTAACTTATTATTTATTTATTAAAAAAGTCCATCAAGCCCATCTAAGCCAGTGATCCATACACAGTCGATCCATACATAACGGATATACCTGGATGACCCAGTCGCATATGCCATGAAAAAGATTCAACAAAAGACAGAAACAAAAAGCGACCTTTAGTCGGGTTGATCTGTGATTGCTCAAGGCGAGCGAGAGGACACATACCTCCTCCATATTCCTTAAATGGGCAAGACTCGGATACCGGTCATATCTGATCTGTAGCTGGTATCGACATGTTTTTTTTTGTGATTAACTCAATTTCCATGAATTCTCCTTATAAATGAATGAAATTTTTTTTAGGGGTGGGGACGGAAATAAGTAGCGGGAGCAGGGACAAGGAAAGGATGGAGAAGCGTTCGAATCTCACCGTTCTTAAATTGTTGTATTAACAAAACAAGGGTAGAGGTCAATGTCTTATGTACGGTTCTGTCGAGGGGCAATAAGGATGACTTATTTGTCAACTTTTGCACCTCGAAGACATAATCGTTTACAGTCACTCACAGAAGGTTCAAAACCCCCTTCCCTTACCCCATCGAGAAACAGAACGTTATTAAAGCAGGTGCGTACTGAGTAAAGCTTAGTCTTTTGGACCTTTCAATTTCACAACGTTATTAGTTAGGCACTCGAAACCTAAACCCGTGCACGTATTAAAGAACTAAAAGACAAGAAACACGACCCGAACATCTGTATAACTTTCCTCTATCGTATTTATAACACAAAAAATACAACGGTTAAAATAAAAGATAAAGAAGCTATATACAATGTCACATTGCTACATATCAATACAATCAACAAACCAAACCCATGAAAGTTCTAATATTCCTTCCCAAAAAGGACTATGTAACCAAAAAAAAAAATAATAATAATTAGCAATCAATTAATCATTGTTTAAACGTTCAATATGGGAAATGCCCATTTAAAACAAAGCATCGCCATTGTTCGATCATAACATCTACTTTCAATTTTCAGTAGTCCCAGAACTCGAGAGCTGCCTCGTTGTCAATCGACGATGATATCTCCGGTGTCACACCGCTCATCGTTGACCATGAAACTTGTTCTATTTTGCACTCCATAGTTGTTGTTGTTGTTGTCGTCGCCGCCGCCATTGACATTGTTCCACCGACGTCTAGTTGATCAAATGAGAAGAATTCGTCGTCGGGGACAGACGATGGGTACGACGAAATCATTGTCACTGCAGTATTCGTCGCTGAAAAAGGCCGATGATAATGGTAATCATTTGCATAATTATCGAATGGTACTGATAACCTCCAGTTGACTTCACCATTATCGAATCTGCCACTGATTGGAGTATGAGCAGTTGTGGGATCTATTAGAGGTGGGAGAGAAGAAGAAAAATCAGAAGTTTGAATCTTTTTCACTACTCCGACCGTGTTCGTTGTGTTCTTGTGAAAAACCCGACATACAACCCAATCAGCCTGTAAATCGAGTCGAAATTCATAAGCAATTCAAATTCAAATTCAAATTCAAATGAATTGTTTTTAATTAAACAAATAAATATTAACAAGCTAAAATCAAAATTAAGCCAATGAAATTACCTTAATGGGCTTGGGAAAACCAAGAAACTGAAAGAATTTGGGTTCGAGTCGAAATTCATGCATGACCCAATTGGTCTTTTCACCTCTGGGAGCTCTTCCTTTGTAAAAAACCAGCGTTTTCTTCATACCAGCCAGAACCGTTCTTCCCTTGAGAATCTCCTTGTCTTTCCCGGTCGCCTTCCAGTAACCGGTCTGAGTCGCCCGGTTCGTTCTCATCCCGGTCGGATATTTCCGGTCTCTCTGGCAAAAAAAATACCATTCTTTTTCCCCCATCTTAGCTTTATCTGCAAAATCATAAATAAAAATTATTACAAAAAAAATTCAAAAAATACCCATTTTCTCCCTATAATTAATTAATTAATTAATTAATTTTCACTAAATAATTTGATTTTAAAAAACCCAACATGAAATGTTTATCAAAATTTAAAAAAATTAAAAAAATAAAAGAAATAAAAAATAGGAAATG